GGGGGGGGGGGGTGCTAATGTCCTCACAGCACATTAGTTTCATTGTTTTCATTTTAATTGAGAAACATCATTTATTTGTAATGTGAAAACTGCCAGGACCCCTTTGTCCCATTTTGTTGTGTGTGAATAGTGTGCCTTGTGTGATTTTGTCTGGTTGATTCTCCTATTTTGTTTCTGAGTGGTGCTTATGGCCCCTGTTCCTATTTTCAGAGAGCCCTATCCTCTCACTGATGAGCAGGTGGTGTCAGGGTAAGACCAAATTAATCTGTCTCAAACAGCTTTTCTTTTTCACCATCTTCTTCTTGTCTTGTGTTCCTAATTTCTGTCTTGGACTATGCTATAAATGAATTGAATGATAACGGAGTGCAGATGTGATGGGTGAGCTTATGAGGAATTTAAAGGGCCAACCTGTGGCCAATCTGGAAAGAGAACTGCAACACCGTGGCAGAGCATGTGCTTTGCATGTAGAAGCCCTTGGGTTTCTTCTCTGGCTGCATATCCAGGTTAGGCTGGGAAATTACCATCAGTGGAGACAAGACTGGATTAGATGGACCAAGAAGCCGGCGGAGTAGATTGATGTGTCTGAGACTTCTTTTCGTACGCAGGTGGAAGCAGAGACTGGCGCACCATTCTGCAATCAGTGATGGATGCATTTTCACCATATAGACAACATGTCATTTTAGTCTGTGGATGCATTTGTATGCAATATTTAAAAGCTGGCTCCTGCCTAGTTTTTTAGGATACAGAGTAACAACAGAGTATTGAGGCCACCCAGCTTTCAAGCTAGTACATTCTTTTTCAATCTGGTGTCCTTTAACTATATTGCACTGCAAGCTTTAGAACTTCTAGCCAGGGTAGCACTAGAACGAGGATGGTTGTGATAAATTGTTACGTCTTGGTCAGGCCTCTGTCCACTACATATTTCCCCTAGTTGTGTGATTCTGTGCTGCTCTAAATCTTTTCCCAAGACTCAGTGGCACTCAGTGTGCAGTCAGAAAAAGTGGGCTAAAGGGGAAAGATGAAGAATATGGTCTGCATTGTGGTGAGCAGGGGGCAGCTAAAGGCTTTGAATCTCTTTCAGAGCCCTCTTCTAGCAATCTTACAAAGAGTTGTATGAACTCCTGAAGGATTCATAGGAGAAGTTTTCTCTTTAATTTTGGAAGTACAAGCTGCTAAAAGTTCAGATAAGGTCATTATTTGCCCTGAGGATGTTTATTTGCATATGAAATATGACTATTGCTGATCAAAGTAAGTTGCAGCTTTACTGAAGCAAGGGTCCCCAAACACTGACAAAAGCAGGATTTTTGCAGCAACATTCTAGAGGCCCTTAACAAACCAATGAGCTCCACAGAATTGCTGTTAAATAGCTGGTCTTCCAAAGAGAAATGCTCACGGCTTTTTCAGTTCACCCATTGTGCTTGGCTAAAATCAAATGCTTAGCCAGGGTGTGATCCATTGTGAGATGATAGGGAGCTGGGAAGACTTCTCAGGAGGCTCTGCATTTTTAACCTGCAGAATACAGCTCCACTTACTCTTTCAAGAACAAAAATTTGGAATTTCCTGTTGCTAGAACAGAGCAAAGGAAGAGATTTGTACATACTGGATGTAAAAAGATTAAAGAACTTGATTTTTTCATCCTACTTTCCCCTACACAGACCCACTGGGATTTCCATATGGTATTAGGGAGAATACCTTGTAGGACTGTTTTTGGTCTTAATGCAAATAAGAGTTTAAACATCCATTGCCAGGTTTCTGGTGGGAAAGTTTGCAGGGGTACAATTCTGCCTTGGCTGGGGCTGACTCTTCCTTCTCTGGGAGGGCTGATAAGCTGACAACTCTTCAAGCCACAGCCCTCACAACAAAATGATGCAACTGCTCTCTGCAGGCACAATGAAAAAAGCCTTCGTGTGGAATCTGCATCTGGCCAAAGTCAGTGGGGGGAAGTTGTGACTAAAGGTCTGAATGTGAATATGCAGAAGATGCATATTTCAGCTCTTAGCAAGCTCAGAGCCAGAGTACCTACTTCTGCCCAGAGGGCTGCAGTTCCATAGTCACCCTTTGTTCAAAGCTTGGGTTAGCTACAGACAGCCGAACTACCCTTGGTGTTGCTGGTGTTCTGAGGCCAGTGATCCCTGCAAGCCTCCATGTTGGATGCCTTTAATCTCCTTGGCTTCTCCTGTTGGGAATGGGAAGCATTTCTTTAAATAGGGTTGGTGCAGGAGTACTCAGGGGCATTTGCACCTTGAAAGAGGTTGCATCTTTCCCTACAGAGAGATTTGTGCTGTGGAGGAAAACTTTAGGTCATGCAGAGATAAGAGGCTACATGCCAGCAGCTTAGCATAGCCCCCAGAGGAGCTGCTCAAGCACCTGAGGATGGGACTGGGGGAGGAAAGCTTTTTTGCTGTTCTGGGCATGGGATCCTTGACTTCGGGAGCCTTTATAGCCAAGCTCAGGAAGAGCCTGTATTTGGGGAATCTGCTTCAACTGCTGCAACTGCTGCAACTTCACACTGCTTAGGCCACGGGACCCTCCAACAGAAACGACCCTTCCTAACCTCTTCTTTCTGAGAGTTGCATGACTATCCCATCATTGGCTGTGATGCTTTCCTTTCAGTAATTCTGATGATTCTAAATACGTAATCTGGACAAATTAATGGCATTCAAAGGTCCTAGTGTTTATTTATCCAGAATGGTTACAGAATAATATTTAATGTTGAATACAAAATGGTGTCTAGCTTTGGGATGTGTTCACATCACCATAAACAGTTATACGTGTTTCTGTTCTTATGCTTCTGTTTTGAAGGTTTTCAGATGTCATTCTGGCAACAATTCTAGCCACTAAATCAGATATGTGTGGCAAAAAGTTTGAGCTGAAGATTGATAACATCCGTTTTGTTGGGCATCCAACTCTGTTGCAGCATGCCTTTGGCCAGGTATGTCACAGGTCCAGAACACCTTTGCAGCAGCTGGAACATGCTGCTTAGAGACCCCTTCCAATTCTTGCTGAATTTCTACCCTTGCCATTTTCCCAGCTTTGAACTAGCCTTGGACCCTGCAGAATCAGACAGTTGTGCCAAAGGCAGGCCAACAGCTAGGATGCCAAACCTAAGCTCCACCTCTCATATTCTGCTCTGAAGCTGATGACTGGAAAGAGTCCCTTTCCAGCTCTTTTTGTAGCCAGTGCTCCCTAGGATGATTTCTCCCCTCCATTTTAAAATAAGATTCAGTATTGGGAGTTGTTTTACACAGCTTCACCAGTGGGTTCACTTGGTGTTTGGTTTCTCTGTTTTTGAACCCACATCACTAAGATTCCACTAAACCATAATTTGTTTGACATGCTATACAAATGATTGTGTAATAAATGAACAATGTTTTAGTAAGGCCTGATGTAGTGCAATGTGTGAATCTAGCCTTGGTTTCCATGTGGAAGCAATTCTCTAGTGAAGGTTCATACACTTGTAAGTATGTGCTGTATGAGACCTTCTTGATCTGCCCAAGTTTTAACGGGCACCAGCTACTCAACTCTTCTGAATCTCCCCTGGGAGTGGAAAGTGCTTCTTTAAATATGGTTGGTGTTCATACAACACTGTATTGTAAACTGCCCAGAGTTGCTTCAACAAGATGGGCGGTGACAAATTTGATATGTAAATAAATAAATAAACATGCTTAACCAGATCAGTGGAAGACCTAGCAGATGCATTTGCAAACACTTTAATATTAACCATGATTGTTTTTTTTGTGGCTTAGCTGTTTGGTTAATTCACTGTTTAATGTATTGTGTGAATCCAAGGAATTGGGTTAACTCCTTAACCAGGTTAGGTATACTGTGCAAAGCCTTTTGCTTCTATTTGGCCTTTCTGGATGAGGCATTCCTTCCAACAGGCCACTGGTTGTCCTGCACTTCAGGCTTTTCTGCTCTGTCTTGTAGAGTCATATGATTCCTACAAGAAGCAACAATTCCTGATTCCGTTGCTTTTTTATGTTACTCATTCTTCCTTCAGCTAAGAAAAACTGGATTTTCTGTATATTAATGGGATGACCAACTTGAAATACTCTTGTTTCCTGTGTCCCTGATTTAAGCTCTCAGGACTGAGCCTCTGCAGAGGTCCCTGGACAGATGGCATGTGGGAATTCTTCATGTAGAAGTAATCCCCCCTTGGCTTCTCTTGAGTATTCTTCTGGAGAGACAAGGGCTGCCATTTATTCCAGAGCTGTTAGTGAAGACAGACACAGTACCCTGGAAGCAGCTGGCTTAAGCTAAGCTCCATTTCTTCATGCGAAGCACTGGAAAGGTGTAGCACATTTCTTGGGTGTACTGTATTGCTCTGTGAGCCAAGTGGTGCTCTCAGGATCCCAGCTGGCATATGCACCTCCCACCATGACAGACCTGTAATTCCAATTGGCTCTGTGTGTAGTCAGTGGAAGTCAAAGGCATCTGTCTTCCGCAGGCCACCAGCAGCTTTTCATAGAACAGGGGATAGTACTTGTGAAAAAGAATACTTCTTGATTACAAGCTGAATATGAATCAGCAGCTTGATGTGGCTGCAAAGAAAGCAAAGGCAGTTTCAAGGTGTTTCAGTAGAAGTGTCATTTCCAAATGTGGGTGATTAATAGTTTTACTTTATTCCACATTGGTTGGATCCCACCTGGTGTATTGTGTCTAGTTCTGGGCACCACCTTTCAGAATGATTCAGAGAAAGTTGAACAGGTTCAGAGAAGGGCAGCACAGATTCTCAAGGATCTGGAACCATATCCTTTGAAGAGAAGCTGAAAGCCTGGGGAAAGTTTAGCCTTGAGGGGAGAACACTGGGTAGGGGGAGATGATAACTCTCTTCAGGTGCTCCTGAGAGGATGTCCCACCGGAGCAGGCTAAGACCTGTTCTCTGTCATCCCAAAGAGCAAACACAAAATAATGAGCTTACGTTACAGGAAGCCAGATTCCAATGGGATGTTAGGAAAAACTTTCTTTTCACCAAATGCATTCAGGTGGGGAGTAGGCAGCCATTTCTTTAATTAGGTTCCTCCCTGGAGCAAAGATTGTGACCTAAATGGGCCCTTCCAGCTCTTTAATACTGTGATTCATGGAAAGGAGCTGTGGTGGCAACTCTCTGGCCTGGCTCCCTGCTGACAGAGGAAGACCACCCCTGGAGAATTCCCCCCACCTCAGCCCCATGGAGTCTCTGCGTAAATCGATCCACTCCACCACCTCCCAAGGCAGTCTGTTCCAATGCCTTCCAGCTCTGGGTGTTGTTATTTATTTAACCCGAGGAGACAGGTTTGGTGTGTATTCTGCGCAGCATCCTTCAGCTATTGGAAGACCAAAGCTCCTGTCCTCTTTCTTCCTTGCCTCTTAGAACTTCTTTTTCTGAGCCTTTATCACTTTAGTCTCCTTAACCTGGATACACTCTAGGTTATCCATGTTCTTCTTAAAGCATGACATCCAGGTCACATGGCCTAACTGGTGCAAAGGGAGGGAATTAGTTCCCTGGATCTGAACATGGTATAGCCCAAGAACAAATCTGATTTTTGTGCAGCTGCCTTGTTTGCCCACTGTTCCCTGATTTGCTTGCTTTTATGCTTGTCTAAATGTTCTCTTTTGGTGTGCAGGTATTGAAGACAGATCCCTCTCCCAAGAGGGAGATGCCCACCATGATTCTCTTCAACGTGGTCTTTGCATTAAGGGTAAGACTGTCTGGGATGAAACATTACCCAACAGGGCTTGTGAGACAGCTAGTTTTAGAGCCAAGCTGGGGCACCTGCATTCCTTTGGGCTTGGATCCCCAGGAGAGGAACAGTCCACTCTGCTGTGAAGTTGGCTACTGAGGGGGCACTTGGGGGGACCCCCTGTATATTAGCAGTTCAGCTAAAGAGGGAGAAAGTTCAGGGACTCTCTTGGGTCAGGTCCTTCTAGGCACTTATTGCCAAGGGCACTGATCTCCCCTGCCTTGGCCGATCTGGAGGCCTGGGCTTCTATCTGGACCTGGCAAGAGAACTGGCATAGAGTTCCAGCTCCTGGGTGGGGCCCATCTGCTTCTGGCAGCTGGAGCAGGCAAAGGCCCGGGTGTTATCAGCAGTGGGGCAGCTGGAGTAAAGCTTGAAGTCTAGCCTCATGCTGTGACTCGGCAAAAATGTGGCAGTTTCGTCATGTCGAGTCATAGTTTGTGACTTTGGGTGGCACGCATTATCAGCTGCCTCGCCATCCGTTTCCTTAACAGGCCTTAAACAGCTGCTTCGTCCACTCTGGTGACTGACTCTCTGGGGCCCCACCTGTTCAGCTGCATGTATCTGATAGCAGCCCAGGTCCTGCCTTCTCCTTTCACAGTGGTTTAAGCAGCCTCTGTGGGCTATGAAAGGTGGACACTTATGTATGATGACATGAAGATATTCCGGGGTGGGTGCCTTATCGAGTTCTCACCTAACCTGTTTCTAGCCAAAGGCTCCACAAGGCACAGGCTGAGGGCTGGAAGAAGGTTTGCTCCAGGGCAGTGAGCCTGCCCTTCTGTCCTCACACTGGGTCCCTTAATGGGAAAGAGCTGCTCTGGTTCAGGGGCAGCCAATGGGAGATGCGGTGTGTGTGTGACTGAGACATTTTGCCCAAATAAGAGCAGTTTCAAGGGGTATAACTGCTGCCCTTCTAGTTCACACACTTTGTGGTAGGAGCTTTTCCCTATCTCGATGTCAGAACCCCCAAGAGCAGCCCCTGGGACTTGTGCTGCTTTTAATGGGAGGCATCTTCCAATGCTGGGTAGCAGGAGGGGAGAGACTTAGCTGGTTGCTGGGTTTGCCCTGTCGGTGCCTTCTCCTTTCCTCCAGTCCACCTGATGCGTGGTCGCTGCTTCTGTCTGCTGCCTCTAGGCCACTGCGGATCCCTCGGTGATCAGTTGCCTACATAACCTTTCCCGGCGCATCGCCATTGTGCTTCAGCATGAAGAGAGACGCTGCCAGTATCTCACCAGGGAGGCCAAACTTATCCTGGCCATTCAAGATGAAGTTTCAGCCATGTCAGAAAGTGAGCTATAGGCAGTTTATGGTCTCGTCCACTTGGGATTCCACTTTCTAGGACATGGCTTCTGTAGAAGATGGTTGCCAGCCTGGACTTCTGAGCTGAGAGCCAGTGTCCAAGGAAGGCTGTTTTAGCCCCCCTCCCTTGACCCAAAGGCCCAGGCTGGACCGGTGAGCACCTGCTGCTGGTTGCTGTGCAGCCACGGACTGGAACTGCCGGCCAAGATGATGCAAAGGAGCATGTGCTGCTTAGAAAGTCCAGCATCAGGCATGTCCCAGGTCCATGGCACAGTCCTAGTTAACAGGTTTGCTCGGGAATGATTTGTTTGGGAAGAAGGCAGGGGCTCTGCTGTTGGGTCCTCTTGAGAATACATATCGAGAGCTTCGGCTGCTCCAAAAATAAAATATTTTCTTCCCTTCACAGCAAGAGATGGCCCTCAGTCGCCTTTCCCTCACATTCTTCCCAAATGCAAGCTGGCCAGAGACCTTAAAGAGGCTTATGACAGGTAATGTGCTTGAGCTCCTTAAAGGTTGCTCTCTCTGGGAGGCAGCTGTGGTTTCCTTTCAGAGCCATTATGTCCAGGAGCGTCCTTCAGCAGGGCGGGACAGCCTAATCCCAACATTGGGGAGCCCAGGGGAGTAACACCCTGCAATATGGTTACGGAGGTGCAAAGTCAACCTTCAGTTCTGTAGCTCCCCCCCCCCCTCAGTAATTGGAGCAAGACCTTCAGGGTCTCAGGGATTTAGCTGCCTTCCCCATATCTTTTATTCTCCATTGGGGCAAGGCTTACGTGAAACAGAATGCCTCTCAGTTAAGTGTTGGAAGATTCAAGTGGGTAGAGATAAATTCATCTCCTTCTCATAATACCAAGAATTATCTAAATTTAACTGGCTGCTTTCCTGCTGAGAGTTGCCTGACAATTCACTACCCAGTCTAGAACCAGCAGTGACCTTTCACTTCTGTGCTTGTCCATGCACCGGTTCCTTGAGGGGATGGGAGCCCTGCATGAAGCTCCCTTTGAGATTTTGTAAACTCTGGAGATCGCACACTCCCCAGTCTTGCCTGCCACTTTCCCTCTCTTCTGATGCCCAACTGCAGAGCAAAGGAGGTTTCAGCAGTCGATCTGGCAGAGATGAAGCCTTCCTGGGCGACTAGGCAGGGATGCTGCTCTGGGGTAGCTGCTCAGCTCCCCCTGGTGGTCAGCAGCCGTCCTCTCAGCTGAGGCGAGGAGCGGCTTGCTAGGGGTTGGCCTGAGGCATGACTTGACTTGCACGTCTTGTTTGTGGCCAGCAGGTCGCCATGATATTGTGTGTGTGTGTGTGTGTGTGTGTGTGTGTGTGTGTGTGTGAGTGAGTGAGTAAGTAAGTAAGTAAGTAAGTAAGTAAGTAAGTAAGTAAAATGGGCATTTCTCTGGGAATACTGTACCAGGAAGTGATTCTTTGAGTCAAATCTCAGAATTACGGAAGGGTAGAAGGGACCTTGGAGAACATTTTGCTCAGGTTTCCTGAAAGCTGAAATGGGTGCCATGCAGAACGGCTGGTCCCTGAACCTTGGCTGTTCAGCACCTGGTACTTCTCTCTCTCCCTTCAGTCTCTGCACAACAGGGTTGGTCCAGCTACATATCAACAACTGGCTGGAAGTGAGTTTCTGCCTGCCTCATAAAATCCATGATGTGGCATCCAATTTCATCCCCCCAGAAGCCATTGAAAGGAGCTTGAAAGCTATTCGGTGAGACCAGGATTTTCTTGCTAATACAATTATTTATTTTGTTATATTTTCTGAGTGCATCGTGGTTTTGAATCTTTCCTCACCTCAATCGTACTTCTTGGGATGTAGATGAGATTAAGTTTGCCCAAGAACTGAAAATGTATGTCTGAAATTTAGAGATTGTGGGATGGGAACATTTGAAGCCTGGCCTTGGGAGATGAGCAGCTTATAGCAGGGTCTGAGAGTTCATGGCCTGAGTGCCTCTTTGCTTGTCTCACTTCCATATGCTTAGATCATGTTCCCCATTTTTCTCCACTGCCCAATGATTTGCAAGCCCAAAGAGAAATTTTTAGGAACCATTTTGTTCTTTGACCACCAGCTACTTAGTTGTACAGGCATTATCTCCATATTATTACTGTTTGGGCAATCAGAATGTTTTCACAGTCTGAACCACACAGTCTCCAGTTCTTGTTACCTTGTCTGCCAACATTTAGTTTCTAAGGTGCTCATTGCACCAAGCCCACACCCATGATTTCTGCCAAACAGGATTTGAATGTATGATGTTCAGTTTGTGCAATGTAATGGAGAGTCTCATTTGTAGTTGTTTACCTGGGAAGCTGAGTTCATTTTTACTGAAGGTGTGATGATTTCTTAACAAGCCCTATGAAAACCATTTTTCCTCACACTACAAATTCAGCTGCTCTTGTTTTTGATGATTCAGTCACCATTTCTGTTCCACCGAGAGGCTCTTGTATCCATCTTCTCTTGTGGAACAGAAATAGTGACTGTGGAATTACTGTAGTCCAGAAACTTTTTCCTAGCTGGTTGCAGGTTACACTAAGCCTAGCCAGTTCTCTCTCTCTCTCGCTGCCTGTTCTGCCTTCTTTCTGCAGGCCTTACCATGCCTTATTGCTACTTAAAGATGAGAAGTCCCTCCTCAGCGAATTGCCCCTGGATTGCTCCCCTGCCCTGGTGCGAGTGATCAAAACTGCCTCTGCTGTGAAGAACCTTCAACAGCTGGCCCAGGATGCTGACCTGGCATTGCTCCAGGTGAGCTCTGAGGGAACTCCAAAGCCTTCTGCTACATCAGAGGCCATCAGTAGCCCCCCATCCAAAAAACAGGAGCCGGGGAGCTAAGAAGGCAAAGCTTACCCCAAAGCGTATTTTGTTGGGTGCAATAGGATCTCCCAGAAGAAATGGAAACATTGTGGGAGAGAGGAGATCCCTTTCCACTGCCAGATCTGAGGTATTAGACTCACCTTTGTATTATGCTTGGTGAAGCCACCTGCCTGTTTGCCTTCGCCTCTTCTTAAGAGCGCCAGAAGAGCCAGGCTGCCAGGTCCGGCCCTGCGGGATCTCAGCGGCCTAGCCTCCCCTTCCTTATTGCGCCCACAAGCTGAGCGTGGTGGCAGTGACTCTTTCCTGCCCCAGCCCCTGGATTTGGGGCCACCTCCCAATAGGTGAAAGCTGCGTGCTGAACATTGCCTGATCTCAACACTCAGCAGGTGAGTGGAGCTTTCTCCTCCAGCTATCAGGGCCTCTGCTTTCCTAATGTAAGCTGTGTAAGCAAAAGGTAGTATACAGCATGGCTGTTCTCCTTTCTCCTTGGGGGGGGGGGGCTTTGGCCCACAATTGGTCCAGCCCAGCCTGTCCTATCTGGAGGTGCTGCTGAATTGTCCCAACAGGTGCTTTCTTTTTTGTGGCAGGTGTTTCAGCTGGCTGCACATCTGGTCTACTGGGGGAAGGCCCTCATGGTCTATCCCCTGTGTGAGAACAATGTCTACATGCTGTCCCCCAATGCCAGTGTCTGCCTGTGAGTTGCTCAGCGTGTTCCTTCTCCTGCAGGGATGGCTTTGTGCACGAGCTCCTGTCTCCCAGCCTTAGCAGGTGCTGATGAGGATGACTCAGGGCACCCAGAGACCAGGCAGGAGCCACAGGAGAACGACAGCCTGCTCACTCCCTGCCCTTCCCTTCTGCAGTTACTCCCCTCTGGCAGAGGAGTTCTCCTGTCAGTTTCCAGGCCATGATCTGCCCGCAGTTCTGTCCAAGTTCTCCTGGCCAGTTTCTCTGTCTGAGTTCAAGGACCCTCTTGCTCCAGCAATTCAGGAGGCAAGTCCCAGCTCCTCGTCCTCCATTTTGCCACCCCTCCCCGAAAACCCACAGGAGAGGGCTCCCAGGTGGCCAAGAAACTTTATAGTCCTGGGCCCCTCTAACGGCCTCTCCTTCCTTCCCAGACACATCTCATCCGGATGGTGGCCTGGATGCTCCAACACAGGCTTCTCATCCAGCTGCACAGCTACGCCTGCCTAATGGTTCCCCCAAAGGAAGAGGAGGATGAGGAAGAGGAGGGTTTTCGAGCCAGAATAGAAGAGCTACCCTTTCCTGCCCGAGTTGGCGGCCGAAGCCTCAGCACTCCCAGTGCGCTCAGTTTTGGTTCTCCAAGTAAGTGGTGGCCCCCTTTTTCCTAGGGCTCAGCCTGGCCAGTAGAACAGCAGTTGGCTCATGGTCTCAAGCCCTTGTTCTGACCAGTTGCCAAGCATTTTCAACAACAACAATAATAATGTTCTGAAGCTGTATGGAAAAACACCATCTGAAATAGAATCGCTGCTCAACACTGTCCGAATATACAGCCAAGATATTACAATGGAGTTTGGACTGGACAGATGTACCACCCTTACCACAGACAGGGGAAAAATAGTGAAAACTGAAGGAATCAAGATGCCCTATGGAAATAACATCAAGAGTCTGGAT